TAGAAACATAATTAGATAGACAGTGATTTGCGGAATGTTTTGCCTGGACAATTGGAAAAAACAAACAAACATGACAATAGGTGTGTGTCTGTTTGTAATGTCTTATACCAGAGAGAAGAACTAAAACTGGACAGAAGTCAGGAAGAAGCAGCTTTGAAGCCAATATGAGAGTGTATTTTCTACTGAAATGAACTGTTTCACATAGATTACATGTGAGACATGTAATGAAGCATGAAGCAGGAAACCACGGCTTGATGCCATCTGTCAAGTGTCTAGAGATTTCTGTATCAGATGGGAAGATGGACTCCTATGATACTCTTTGAGATCCCTTTCAAATTACGATCCTAAGCAAATCTGTCGTCTGGGAGGAGATACAAAAATTTTTGAAATTAATTTCAAAGTTTAGAGAGAATCACACGTTCTTCACTTAGAGACGATCTTTCGCAACTAAAACTAAACCTGAAAAATTGAAACCCGGGGCATGGTTACACATCTTTTAAAAGAGCCAAAGAAAGTTTTGCTTAAATAATCAATCCTCTAGTTTTATTTCCATATAGTTTCTTAAACATAGGGACCCATATGTTCATTAACATGACAGATTGGTGCATAGTTCAGGAAGACCTGTATTCTATACCCAGGAGAAGCTCTTATAATTGGCACAGGTCAGTGATTTGGATTTTCTCAGGTTCTTTCTGTCTTGTGTAACATAAAAAGCAAAGTATGCCTTCTAGCTTTGTAACCTCTTTTTTTCTAAGCAAAGTCATCCAATAATATCCCACCAGTTTTCAGTTTTGAACTAAATCTAAAATTCAGTCCTGAACCTACTGGTATGTTGACTTTTATTCGGTCCTAAAGGATAAAACAGTAAAAGTGCAGATGTTGTGCATGGTCGAGGAAACATGGTACATATTTTGTTTTTCAGGTTCGTTGGCTCTCAGCTTCAGAAAAATGTGTACAGCACCGAGAGCCATGAAGGTTTTCTCCCCTCTCATTTCAAATCACTCTTTCATTAACTCTTTGCTAAGCCTCTCCTCATTCCTCATTTTTGTTCTAGGTTCAGTATGTTATAGAATTAATTCTTATCTCAGCTTCTCTCCCTTTTTTTTTAACTCTTTATATACGTACACGCTTTTGGCTTTTGACAGGTTATCTTAACATTTTTTAATCAACTCAGTGGCAAATATACCGGACTCAAAGCATTAGCTGTGCACACTGCATTTGAAAGGTCAAGCAAATAGGAAATCTGGCATCCAGAGTCCTCTCCTCTTTGATACTAAAACTAGAGACGAAGAAGATGAGAATTGTATGAAGCTTCTCTTATCTTCTCTTTCTTCCTGATGTGTGGTGATGGTGGTGGCATGTGTGTGCATGTATCTGGGGGGATAAAAGGGGAAGAAGAGGGGAAAGGTGGAGAGAGAAGGAGGGGAGGAAAAACGAGAATTGGATAATATTAATAATTGCTATACTATATATGGCTAACATTGAATTGAAGCAAAAGTGCATAAGAGACACACAGGGTTAAAATCGCAGAGGGAAAAGTAGATCTCTTGGACTGAGGGAACTGAGCTCAATCACAGAGTCCAAGCTTGGAATATTCAGTCCACATACATTTCTCCAGGTTCTATTTACAGCCTCCTGGTAATTTTCAGTGGTGCACCTGCTGCATTTCCAAGGGGGCAAGGTTTATTTTTGGCACAACCCCTCCTACTTCTCCCCTATCTCTGGCTTCTCTTTCTCTGACCTCCAGACACTCAGCATCCTCACACTGATCTCTGGTTTGCCAAAAACCTGTTGGTACTCCCTGCCATCTCTTTCTCCTCTTTCCAGCCCCAAACCAAGTCTTAATCCCAGACTGTGCAAGGAGGTAGTTGAGCTGGTTATCTGATTAAAATAATCAGATAGAAAGAGTCTTAATTTCTGTTCAAAAGATATACTTGAAAGAGGAGGTGTTGGCTTTAGTTGGGTCTCTACTTGCATTTTCTGGTTCTTGGGTAAGTAGCTTTTCAGCCAAGTCCCAAATTTCCACCCCCAGAGCACTTAAAACACATTAATCTAACTGGCAAAATGTAGATGGGAACACTTTTTGGGTTAGGGTATATATGTGGGCTCCTGGCTAGTTAGACAAATTCTCATCCTACTCTCATCAATCCAGAAATCTCGCCAGTCTCACCCTCCTCACTTTTATAAACGATATAATTCACAGTAGAATGAGGTATTTCTTGGAGAGACTGCCGGACAGAAGCACTGTGAGCAGGTGGAGGGCACAAGAACCAGCTGATCTTACACAAAAAGTATTAAATTAATGTATTCATATACAAATAATAATTTTCATTAAAAAAATTAAAACAGAGGTTGCAAGAACAATGTGGTGTCTACCATATACCCTTTATCTAGTTCTATTAGTTAAACATTTTGCCACGTTATCTATATTTCTAAAACAATTTGAGAGTAAATTACACGTATCAAAAACTCCCATCCCTAAATACTTCAATGTGTATCTCTTAATATGCATACGCTTTTTCATAACCACCATTCTAGAATTCAAGAGGCTTAACATTTAAATAAAAATGAGGGGTGCCTGGGTGGCTCAGTGGGTTAAAGCCTCTGCCTTCAGCTCAGGTCATGATCCTAGGGTCCTGGGATCAAGCCCCGCATGATCCTAGGGTCCTGGGATCAAGCCCCGCATCCGGCTCCCTGCTCAGCAGGGAGCCTGCTTCCCTTCCTCTCTCTGCCTGCCTCTGTCTACTTGTGATCTCTGTCAAATAAATAAATAAAATCTTTAAATAAAAATAAAATATTCATCTAATACACAATCCATATTCAAATTTCAACAATTGCCCTGAAAAAATTCCTTTACAGCACTTTTCTCCCAATCCAGAATGATATGTTGCCTTTAGTGACATGTCTCTTTAATCCCTTAAATAGATAACAGGTTTTCCGCTTTTTCTTTATCATTCGTGACACTGACCTTTTTTTAAAAGACCATAGGATAGTGAATGAATAGGATATTTCTCAATTTGCATTTTTCTGATTGTTCTTTGTGATTAGATTCAGAATATGGATTTTTTTGACTGGGATACTATGTAAGAGGTATTGTATGCTTCTCAGTATCTCACATCAGAAGGTACTTTGTGTCATTTTATCCCATAACTGGTGACATTAACTTTGATCATTTGGTTTGGGTGGTGTCTGTCAGATTTCTTTACTGTAAAGGGGCCATTTTGATCACTTTGTAATGAATAAGAAATCTGAGACTTCTGTGAGAGTGAGTAAATATCGTGTGTCAGTGATTTTAACATCTATTTTATTGTTTTGCAATCTATTGATAGATAATTCCCTATCTGAATCGATTATTACCATAATGGTTGCAAAATGGTGATTTCTTAATTTCACCATTTCCTCCAGTGTCTTAGTTATCAAGAAGAGGAGTTATTTCTCCTTTCTGGCCTTTATATTCATTTATATATTTAACCTAATTTTTTAAAGATTTTATTCTTTATCCAATAGAGATCACAAGTAGACGGAGCAGCAGGCAGACAGAGAGAGGGGGAAGCAGGCTCCCTGCTGAGCAGAGAGCCTTATGCTGTGGATCCCAGGACCCTGAGATCATGACCCGAGCCAAAGGCAGAGGCCCAACCCACTGAGCCACCCAGGCGCCCCTGTTTAACATTTTAAGAATAAATATGCACTTGTGTATTCTTTTTTGAAATTCATTATGTTATAGTCCATTCTAATCATTATTCATTGGTGATGTTCCAATTGTCCCAGTTTTGGTAACGGGAGGTAGCTTCAAGCTGGCTTCTGTTGCTTTTGACATGTGCTCCATCACTCTGAAAATCTTGCTTTCCAGCACAAGATCTTCATGGGCATTTTGTACTTTCCCTCTTTCTTTCTTCGAATCATTCATTTCTCCAGAGTCTGGTTCCTTTTAATAGAGATTGGCATTTAGAAAGCAAGATGTGGAGGCATATAATATATTTCAAAATATGAAATAACGCTGTTCCTGTTTCCTTGGGCCACCATATGGAATACTGATGTGTGGTGATTTGCAATCCTGACTCTACCCTCACCATCATGACCTTGGCAATTCCCTTCATTCCTTGGGGTTTGAGTCATCATCTGAAAAGAAATTGGATTAGGTAAGTATTTAACCTTTTCAGGGTCACCAACCCGTTTGTGAACCTGATAAAAGATACAGTCCCATCTCCCCAGAGACAATCTCAAAGAGGGAAAAATTCGCATTGTAGAGGGGGTTGAGGCTTTGAAGTCTCTGTGAGGCTCCAGATCCCTGGATTAGTGATCTCCAGTGTCTCTTCAAGCGCTGACGTTCTGGGAGTCTATAAGCGACCCGTGCTGCTGTCAGAATGATTCCTGAGACATCAAAATGTGGAAGGATTTATATAGAGACCAATGAGAAAGGGATACGAAGGAAGGAGTCGTTGAGCGATGCATTGCTCAACCCCAGCTCTTGGCCGGTGCCGAATTTGCCGGCGCACTGCAGGCACAGGTGAGCGGTTTGGCGGGAAGGCCCTCAGGTAGGCGGAGAACGCCCGGACGAGGGAAGGAGACGGCCAGGTCGCTGCACCCCTCCGTTCCGCCCACCAGGGCTCGCTCTTGCCCTTCGGCTGGGGTGACCGAGGAACTGGGCGGGCCGGGGGGTGACCCCGCCCCTGGCAGCCGCAAGGCGGCGGCGAACCCGGGGTGCCTGAGTCCGGAAAGAACGCGCCGTCCAGGCCCCTCCCGTCTTGCCTCGCTCCCTCCCTCCCAGCCGCCGACGTCGGCGGTGCTCCGGTCGCCATGGTGACCAATCGAGGCCCGGTCCCGCCCCCGCCTCCCTGCCCCGGCCCCCTGACGTCGGCGCACGTCAGCGGCGGCGCGCGCCTGGCTGGGCCCAGCCGAGCGGGAGGGACCGAGCGGAGGAGCGAGCCGAGCGGCGTCGCCGGAGCCCAGCAGCGCCGCCGGTCCGCCAGCCCGCGCTCCAGTCCGCCGAGTCTAGCAGCGGGGCCCAGCATGGTCATGGCGGATGGCCCGAAGCACTTGCAGCGCGGGCCGGTCCGGGTGGGGTTCTACGACATCGAGGGCACGCTGGGCAAGGGTAACTTCGCCGTGGTGAAGCTGGGGCGGCACCGGATCACCAAGACGGAGGTGCGGCCCGGGGCTTGGCGGGAGCGTCCGGGGCGAGGGTCCGGGAGAGAGGAGCTGTTGGCCGTGAGGGGCGGCTGCAGCGGGGTTGGGGGGAGGTGCTGGGTCTAGCGGAGAGGCTGGGTCTCTGGCTGAGGCGAGGGGCCTGGGACTGTGAGGACCCGGGAGCTACAGGGGGGTCGGTGAGCGCCGAAGGGCTCGGGGCCCGGTCATCTGGACCCGAGTGTCGTCCAGTTGGAAACCCGACCGGCCGGGGCTTTGCCTTCTCTACGCCACCCCCGGTGGCCACACGGAATTCCTCCCAGAGCCTCTCACCCGGGCCGTGACCTGATCTGTGGCCTCCGCTCCGGAGCCCAAGTTCCGCGTCTTCCCAGCTTTCAGCTGGGGGTGGGGTGGGAGGGGAAGTCTGGGTGCTCCCGGGCTGCGCGAGGAGGGACGTCGCCAGCCCCGGGGAAGGGGCCGCCTGCGCTCGGACTCCGGGACGGGGCATCGCGCGGCCCCCGTGACCGCTGCGCCCCTCCCTGGCCCCTTGGGGAAGGGGCCCCGCGGCCGGGAATGACCGGACGGCCATTGTCCATCGTCAGTGTCTCCTTTTGCCCGACAGCGTCTCTTGATTTGGTGTCAGGCTAGCTTGATCTCGTGCCTGAGGCATTTCCATCTAATACTCCAGACAATAGAACGGGTTAAAATGGTCATCTCTGCGCTTGCACGGTTGGTGGCTCGGTCTCGCTTCGCTCAGGTGGTCCCCTGACCAGGTGTGCGTTCTGGGGGCGAATGCGCGTTCCTTAAGCCGCATCTGATTCTGCTTCTCTACTCCAAAAGCCCTCAACTGCGTCCTGGCGGTGAATCCAGCATCCCCCACTCCACTGCACATTCTGATGCACCGTACATATTTTCTCCCAAGTCTCTCTTCTTACCTAACCCGCCCCCCTTCCTTTCACTGCCTCAAGCTGCTCTCCTCAGGGTCTCTATTTTAAGACGTGCAAATTAAATACTTCAGAAAAAAATCAGTAGAAACAAAACTATTCTTTGGAATAAAACCTTGTGTTTTTGACGTACTCTACCCTGCCTTATTGCAGTTCTGGAGTTTCATCCTTTTTCGGGTTTTTCTTTCCCCCAGTTTTCTTCCTATTCAGTTCCCCCCCCCCTTATTATTGCGAACGTGTTAGAGTTTGAATGCAGTAACCTAGGAACAGATTTTCATAATGGCTATGTGAGGTGTAGGACATTTGAAAACTTGAGTGATTTCTGTTGCTGCTGTTCTTGGAAGTTTTGCTTAATGTGAAGGAATCCATTTCCAAAAAGTAGGGGCACATGTCATTGCGTCATCTTCACTTTTTGTCCTCCCCTACTAATGGTGAGGCATTCCAAATCAGACTTATTTTATAACATCAGGACCAAGGTCACAAATTTTCTCTCACAAATTTACCTTTGTTCGCAATTATACTAAGTTTTTAATGGTAAATAATGTGCCTATAGTGAGATTACCTAATCTTGATCTCAGCATTTCTAAAAATGAAGAAATTGATTCCATTCCTTTAGAGAACCATGGCCTAATGCCATGCTATTTCCCCATAAACTACATAAAAGAAGGTATTTTTAATGTGTATTTTTATATGAGTCCTTCCTTAATGACTCTAAAAATCAAACAGATTGTGCATTAAAGAAAGCTTCTTATAGAACTTTTGAACATTTTTATGTGGTTGAATTCCAAACCCATTAGTTCGTAATTTTTTTCTCATCAGCTTTTATCAATATTGGTCACGAGATTTAATTAATTCAGCTGCTACTTATTAGGCCAAATTTAGATACTAGGTTATCTATTTAAGAATTGTTTAGGTGAGCTGGTATTGAGTGACACTATCTCTTGAGGTTGACAGTTCAAACCAAGTCTCTTTTAAACTGATCCATCTGGTGGAGCTAGGGGGCACTGTGGAGTAGTACCGTGGTTTGGCCGTCAGATATCAAGATCAATGCATTTGTAATTGAAGGCACAGGTTGGATCACTCAGATCCTACTATACATGTGAGACATGATTTAATTTGAAAGCTAAATTTCTAGTCCGTAGAACCCATTGCCCTTTGCTTTCCACAAGAAAGTGTCTTTAACATATAAAAAGAAATAATGTCAGTTTAAGATGGGTGAGTGTCCCTGATAATATGGTGTGAGTGGAAATGTTAAAATTGAGAGGAATGAGGGAAATAGCAGGGTAATTAACAAAGAGAAAAGTTCTTATAGATCTGAAGTTTTGCAGAGTTGCTCTGTGAACTTTTGTGGTAATTTGCATTAAGAATTGTTTAGCAATAGTACCTCTAGAATTATTTCTTAAAGTGTACTACTAATGAGGATTTTTAAAGCAGTGCTTACGATCTTCATTCATTGTCTGGATAAGTATTTCTGTCTTCAATGGATACAACTATCCCAAATACTATAAATAAGATGGCTAGTGGAAACCTTAAAGTTTTATTTAATCTTATTTTAAGTTTTCGTTGCTGAGCATACTACAGTATTACAGAGAGAACAATTAAAGTGGTATAAAGAACAGTATCAGCTAAATATCATGATTACGCTTCCTACAGAAATTTCCTCAATATAGTATGTTTTAACATCAATGTAAGTTTGTGTTTTTTTTTTAAAGATTTTTTTTTATTTATTTATTTGACAGAGATCACAGGTAGGCAGAGAGGCAGGCAGAGAGAGAGAGAGAAAGAGTGAGAGAGGAGGAAGCAGGCTCTCTGCAGAGCAGAGATCCCGATGCAGGGGCTCGATCCCAGGACCCTAGGATCATGACCTGAGCCAAAGGTAGAGGCTTTAACCCACTGAGCCACCCAGGCGCCCCTAAGTTTGTGTTTTAAAACTTAGAGGTCTTTTTTCCCAAGTTTGAACCCAAGACAAATTTTAGGACTTAGTTTGAACAACTATGTGGTAAACAACTGGACCCTGTTATTTTTACTTGGCTCTTCTCTGTCTCTTGTTCTGAATCACTGAAGAATGATGTATTTTCTACAGAGATTGGGAGATCCGAGACTGTTTGCCTTTTAGGAAAAAAAAAAAAATCAGTACACAAAAAGAGATCTTCATTTTGGTCTAATCTATCAAATAGCTTTACATTGTTTAAGAAGTATAATTACATCATCATCTGAAGCTGTATTCTCATGTTAGATCTCTATGTAAATTTTGCACACAAAAGGGAAGGCAGGTGGTGGTAGAATCCAGCTTCCTAATATAATACTTCGGAAAAGCTTTGTAGTGTTGGTTTGTGGTTTATGAATTAGAGTAGCTAATTTTATAAAATTAGCATAATGGGAAAAGAATAATAGCATTTAGACTGTTAAACTATTTTAGGCAGTAGTGGTTGCTAGTTTGCTATACTGTGGCTCTCCTTGAGTAGTGTTTTATTTTATCAAAACTGTACTAGCAAAGAATTTTTCCTTCTAATTGTATTGCTAGTTTTTTGTTGGTTTTTGTCTGTTGAGTAAAATTCCGAAAAAGTCATTTGTGCCCGTAAGTTGTTTTTGTTTTCTGTTAAAGAGTCTTACTATAAAAAGTGTAAAGAAGAGTATAGTGCACAAAAAATACATGGACATTTCCTCCACCAATGGGAGTAAATCATTCTCATGGCGTATTTCCTTCTGGTCTTTTTTTCATTATTATTATTTTCCACAGATGAGATCATATGCTGTATACACTTAAATATATTACATCATTTTTTACACTTATTGTATAGCATATTTTGCTTATTATATATCTTTATAAGGTACAGAAGTACCTTATATTACCTTATATTAAAAAATATATTAAAAGTACCTTATATTAAAAAATAGCTGCATAGTGTTCCACCTTGTAAATGAATTCTATCTTATTGAACAATTTTCTTATTAAATATTTCCAGTTTCCATTTACAGTAAATAATCTGAATAATATTTGCATATGTAACTGCTGTTTTTTCGAGAGGAGGAGGCAGGAAGAGGGAGTGGGATTTGGAGGTAAATTCCTAGAAAGGAAGTTGTCAAGTGAGAAGATACTATTGTTGCATTAAAGAACAATGTATATTATCAAACTGATACATTTATTATTGAAAATTTTTAAAGTATAGGTAAATGAAAAAAATTACCCATAAGATCAACACCCCAAGATAACCATTAGTTGTTTTCAGATCTTTTCAGTGACCATTATATTTTCCTCAATACCAGACCTCTTGCATTGCTTAGCTAAAGAGCATATAAGCATGTGGTCCATAGACTCTTAAAGCTATTTCACAGAGGTTCTGATAATTACCTTATTAAAATGGCATGTTGGGGGGTGCCTGGGTGGCTCAGTCAGTAAATCATCTGCCTTCAGGTCAGGTCATGATCCCAGGGTCCTGGGATCAAGTGCCATGTCAGGCTCCCTGCTCAACGGGGAGTCTGCCTCTCCCTCTGCCTGCCTTTCCCCCTGCTTGTTGTGCGTGCTCTGTCTCTCTCTCTATCTCTCTGACAAATAAATAAACTCTTTTTAAAAAATGAAATAAAATGGCATGTTGGTGTTGGACTACTTACTTATCCTTAAGAGAACCTGGAATGCAGAACTGATAGCATAGACATTCTGAAGACTGCTTTTGTTCATGAAAAGCTTTCTGTGTGCATTTTGAGGTTTTTAGGTTTAGGCATAATTCTTCACTACCTTAAAATGTAAGTATTTTTAAAGCTTTCCAAATAAAATAGCAAAATTGCATTCTTAGAGCGAGGATAGAAACAAAAAATACTATATCCTTATTACAGTGTTTCTTGAGGAGAACTTATTTTTGTAATACATTTGAATTTAATATTTTGCTCTAAAGTTTTAGGACTCCTCTCAGTAGTCTTGGTATTAATCTTGTGCTCTGAAATATCCCATATTTCAAGAAGCAACTGTTATGTACAACAGGAGGACTGGTTATCAAATAACTTAATCACTGTTATTTGTTTCTGGGCCTATGTATAGTCTTTATAGTGTGTTGATATGAAAATTGTATTTGTCATGGA